TCATATACAAAAAATAGCACACTCAATGGATCACGACATAATATTAAATAATTTTATCACACAAGAAGATTTCTTTGCACAGAGAACAGAAATCTACAAATTATATAACCATTTAAAACAAAAAAGAAATGATGAATTATCACAATGGAAAACTGAACGTATTGATTATTTTATTAATCAAAGAAATTTTGATTTATCAACTAATCAAACAAAAATGATTAATTCAATACTTCAAAGAAAACCTAGAAAAATTACATTGGATCGATTAATTTTCAAAGATAATAATAATGATACCATATTTACTAACAATCCACAAATTATACAAAAAGAAACTATTAAACATTATCAAAATATAGGTAAACATGATAATCAATCAACGTACTGCTCTATTGACGATTTACCTCTACCGTGGCGTACGATATATGATCCGGCCAACCACCATTCCAATAGTGATTGTTGGGATACGCTTCAACAACAAATTGATATTTCCGATGTATTAGCCATCTTAAAAAATTCTCCTTCGAATAAAGCACCTGGTCCTTCTCAAATTACTTATGAAGACTTGAAGCACCTAAATAAAGAAGTATTGATATTACTTACACAGATCTTCAACTTATGTATCCATTTAGATACGATACCCACAAAATGGCGTGATGCTCTGCTATTCCCAATACCGAAACCACATGACTGGGATAGTAAACTTACGAATACAAGACCTATCACCCTTTTGGAAACGACGAGAAAATTGATGGTCTCAGTTTTCTCTCAAAGATTAAATCAATCATTAGCGAAATACAACATCTTACAATTCAACAATCGTGCGGGTGTTTTGGGACAATCTTGTTTAGAACCACTGTTCCAAATACAGCATTCAATCGAACACGCACGAATTTATAAGAAACCACTATGGATTGCCATACAAGATTTATCAAAGGCTTATGATAGAGTCGATATTACATTATTACGATTAGCTCTGCAACGTATTAAAATTCCGGAAAAGATAATTACTTTTTTCATTAATTTATTTTCTAACCGATATAACTCCATCATCCTACCTAATGGAAACCTAGCATCATATAAGGTCCTACAGGGTATAGACCAAGGCGAAGTTGTTTCACCGCTTTTATGGAATATATATTACGACCCTCTGTTTTATCACATTAATCAACAATCACATCTTGCTTACAAATGTGATACCACGAAAATTAAAAATATTTATCACAAAGACTCTGACATTATTCATAATTTTGAATTATCCTTGGTAGGATACCTCGATGACACCACCTGGTTTAGTCCTTCTCTAGAAACACTAGAAACTAAATTAGATATCGCACACTCATTTTATTAGTTAGCAAAATTAAAGTGAACATCGACAAATACAAAATCCTCACCAATCAACGATTAGGTAATGATAGAAAAACTATACAACTCACCATCAATGGACAAAACACGGACGTTAACATTATTTCTAAATATAAAGGCACAAGAATCTTAGGATTATATATCAACCCTTTAGATAGACACCAACAAACATTACTCAAAGCGCGCTCGATCATCATGAACCACGTGATCACAATGCGCCACAAAAAAATTGCACATTCTCACGCAATCTATATTATTAACAAAGTCATCTTCCCTAAGTTGGAGTATCTCTTCCAGCACACAATCCTAAATTATGCCCAAGTACAGAAATTAGTTGTACCTATTAAAAAATTATTTAAAAAATTTTTTTCTTTACCACTTAATACGGCAGACAATATCATTTATAATAATATGTAACCACATATTGATAATTTGATGGATTTACTAGTCAAATCACAATTAAATGCACTATCGGCTCTATTCAATACTGAAATCCTAAGACCTATAGCGATCCAAAAATTGGATATATTAACTCACGAATTTTGGTATCCAGGTATACCTCGCGACATCAATAAATACATTGGAAAAATTTCCTCACCAAGTTATTTATCAAAGAGTCTAGCTTTACTAGAACAATATCAAATTCATTTGGACCCTACTATCAGTTATGGTATCACAGGAGGACATATACCAATAGTGGAATATCTTCCAAACTTATCTTCTAATGAATAAAAATCTTTACGAAACAAAAGGATCATGTACCTCAATCAACTTGTATCCACAGATGGTAATTACCTTCTGACCTGGAACGAAGTGAAACGTCTAAACAACAACAATTTTAAAGGACCTAAACCTAAATGGTTTAAACTATTAGAAAATGATTTCACCCTAAGTAATTATCGTACTTTAACACACCCGCTAAACGATAATTACACAATTCCAGCACGTTTACAACAAATCCCTGATCAATCCCTGGGTAATCACAAAAAACGTAATGAATGGACATATCATTGGGACGCTAGAATACAAAATTGTATTATTGGAAAAACATATATACAAGATACCGACACGTGTAGTTCTATTACTACCATGGAACATTATTTACCTTTTAATAACTCTTCAATATTAAATAATGTTACCCCCCAATCACCACGCTCTTTACCTTTAATTTTAATCCCTTGTTCAGGTTGCCATCTTAATGACCATAGTTTAATTTTACAAGACGCTCGTATTAAATGTTCAATTTCTATTCGTACAAATCGTCTTTCAACCTTTAACATTTTTAACCGTTTAAATCAAGAACATAAAAGATTTAAAAATCTTCCCCTATCTAAATATTATGTCAGCACCAAACCCTTACATCAAATTAGACATAGCGCACACAGCATTTATTTAGCTCAACATAATGTCAACACAGTAACTACCACTATTATAACACCAGAACTACCATCTTTACATGACCAAAACCATGTTCTTCAACAATTGTCGTCAGTAATAGCTTCTGCCCTGTTATGTGACGACAAAATTAAATTAACTTTAATAGATATAGCTTCAAAATTTTTTTCTTATACTAACTTTCAATTTTATTCAGATGGTTCTGTTTCAGATATAGGTACCATTAATAGTAAATCCGGATTCGGTTGGGTACAAACGAATCCTCTTTTACCACAAATTTCATTTTTGGGTTCTACCATTTTTTTCCCTTCTTCTTTTAAGAGCGAAAGCTTTGCTATTTTGACAATTTTACTAGTCTTACCTCCCAACGCCACATGTGAAATATTTACCGACTCGCAAAATTGTATAGATGCTTTTAATCAACGTTTAGGCTCACCTATTATAAGTCCATGATGCAGGCTTAAACAGAACAACTTTTTAATATGGGATCTTATAATGTGGTTAATATCACAACACTTCCTTACTATCCAACTGAGAAAAGTTAAAGGACATAGTAACGATAAGGCTAATGATCAAGCAGATGCCCTGGCTAAACGAGGCAGATATTCGCCTGATCCTATCATCATTAATCACAAATTTTTTTTCCGAAGTTCCCTAGCACTGTTCAATTACAACCATATCAACGTAATTGATCGAAATTTACGCAAGTGGAGCAATATACCTATCCAGTCTAGAATTTTTAACATGGCTATGAATAATAGTTCACTGTCACCTATTAATTATCAAATCACATATGGCGACATTGACTGGACTTACACCAAACAATGGATCAATTCTAATCCTCTTGACATGCCCACGTCGTCTAAATTATCATCTATTCAATCAAAAAAATTGAAGAAATCTACTTTTACATATCCAACAGGCAATATTTTACAACGCAATTATCCTAATCTTTATCCTTTCGGGCATATTAATTGAACGGAATGTTCGATAGACGAAGACACCAACGCCCATATCGGCTTATGTCCATCTCATCGTAAATCCATAACATCACTACTTACAAAATTAAAAAAAAAACTGATAAATCTTATCAGAAAAGAACGCACTAGCAATATATCTTTTGATATAGAATCAAGGATTAATAATTCTAATATGTTCAAAGTTTTCCCAGATATCTTAGACGCTGCTCGTCTACCTGACTCTTCAGATCAAATACGTATTCCACGAGAACAACCATGGATTTTACTATTACATCATCTTATCCCACGAGAATTAACTGTATTTTTTGATAAATACTTCAGCAAAGCGGAGGATAGGTCGCGTTTCCTGCTAGAGTATGTTTCCGCATTTACCTCGGAATTGAAAACTATAACCTGGTCACCACGTTCCCGCTCATTTAAAAAGTGGGAAAAAAGTCTAGACATTACTTTAAAGAAAAAGAAAAATTATCGCAAACACACAACTACTGATTCCGGTCGGGCGTCTTCATCGACCACTACTTTAACTTCTACCGTTGCCCGTAAGCGACGAAGTCAATATACTCGTTACTATCACAACAAAGTGTTACCATACTTCAAACAAACAGTCAATTTTGATGTGTCCGCGTGTATACGTTGGACGACCTGTAATTTTTTACATAGTGGTTCTTGGGAATCTTATAGAGATAATCTCTTATTTAATTTAGATAATTTCTCCCCAGTACAATCCTTTTTAGATTCACTTAGACCACATAATACTTAGTTCAAAAGCCTTTACTTTGGTTATTAGGGATGTGATGTCGTGTTAGGGACTCCCCCGGATTCGTCAAAAGTACCAGAGTGGCGCTGTCCTCGGGCGGTTTGATTATAGCTTAGTATCAGATAGCGTTCGACATTTGTTTTATCTTTTGTTCTTGTCTATCTTTCTGTAATCTAGTTCACGTGGTTTTAAAAATAAAAATAAAAATAAAGTATGTCTGTAGTGTATGGTTAAATATCACGCGTGTATCATACAGATTTTCATTGTTTATTATGATGTTTAACCATACACTCCATACATTACAACCATACACTACATGTTTGCTATGTACTCTTCTTCTGATACTGCACGCCATATTTGCTGTGTATTACAGACGCTACATGCATTTTTCATACTAAAAGAATACAAATAATGGCCGTAAGAAATTCTTGATATACTTTATAAATACAACGAGTTCTTAACTTTTTTTTATTTTTTGGACTTTGTGCTTTCGACGAAAAATACAAATGGAAGAAAGTTCAAACCAGGTGAATAAATTTTATATAAGTATTGAATATTTTTGATGAATTAAAGTTATTAATAAGCTTATTTTATTTTACAACTATATATAGAGTGGAAGTTCACCTACTAATAGTTCTGCAGAATTAAGAACACTTCTGCTTGAAAACATATCCAATAACTCTATCTTTCCCGAGTTAGGACAAGATGGATTTATTATAACTGATAGAAAGGCGGAAGAACTTATTACTAAAGATTTGGCTAAAATGGAAAATTTGGTTGCTCTTAAATTACTTTTTGAAAACCCACTTAATCAATTTTCGCCTGGAATCCTTCGTAATTCTTTAGTTACTTTAGCGGATCCGACGCCTTTTGATTATTATGATAAATTAAGTGTGGCTAGGCTAGAGTTACATATTCGTACCTGGGTTGCTGTATTGGAAAAAATTTGCTTTACACCAATGCGCTTAAGTAAAGAACTTCGAGATAAAGTTTATAATTCTTTAGCAAAATTTGCAGAAATTCATAAAAAAACAACGCAAGTAATGCAAGAAGGAGTTGATAATAATTATAGGTCTGACTTTAATCAATTCAAGCAATTACAGGATAGTAAAGAAGATGAGGGTATTATGAATAAACGAAATTATAATATTGACTTCTTATTAATTCACTTACGGGATACATTACATAGCTTGCGTGATGACGAAACTTGGTTTCAAGAAACTATACGAAGAACTAAGGAATTACTTAAGGCTGTATTAAATATTACACCAGGAGTTTTATCAATAGTAGCACCTGGAGTTAATCTTCCAAATGATAATTGTTCGATCTTATCAATGCTCACTCAATTACGTAAAGGATTAAATTTTAAATATCCAGTAGCATCTTATTATGTAGATTGGAGAATTATGCTTATAATTCAACATAATTTATTCAACTGGTCTGGTGGTGGTACTGAAAATATAATTAGTGAGAAATTTCAAGAAATGGTATTAATGGAATATTTTTGGAGTTATTTGGAAAAGGAATGGAGTGACATTTACGATAATTCTATTTTAGATTCTCAATCAAAATTTGATGAAATATCAACTAAACTTGTTAAAGTTTTTAGAAATACTGGAAGTTTCATCAATGAACTTGCTGGAAATGAACCTCTTGCTTTACCACATACTTTGTGGTTTGGAATATTAGATCTTGCACAAAATCTTATTCATAAATCTACTCGAAAATCCACTCATGGTCTTTGTTATTATTTAGCAATTGAATCACTTAATAGAGCTCCAAGCAGTTTCATTCAATTTAAAGCAATTGAAATATTATTTCATTTAAATAATATTAATAACCAAATATTCTCATTGATTGAAATTGACTTTGATCAATACATCCAAAAGTTAAATGAAAACAATTCAACAACAGATTCCTCAGAAAAGTTCCAAAATTTATTAACATTTGTTAAAAACAAGTGCTCTGATGATTTTAATCTATTAGATTATAATATTGAAAAAGGAAAGGGAAAAGGAAAAGAAAAGAGTTCATCAATTAAAAATACAAATTTAACAAATAATATATCAAAATTGGGTGAAATTTTAGAAATGATTGCAAATGAAATGACTTGTCCAATTGATCATGAACCAACAGATCAATTATGCGTTTTAAAATGCCAACATATATTATCAATCAATAGTTTAAAAAAATTAAAACAAAAAAATTGCCCTAAATGTCGAGAAATAATTCAAGATAATGATATTAAATATTTACCACAAAATGCTATTTATAAACATTTATATTCACAATTTTTTGAAGCTGGACATATTTTACCTTCAATTGAAAAAGAAGATTCAACAAATAACCAATATCATAGTGATTCAGGTGATTCAGAAATTGATCTTATGTTAACTAAGAAAAAGAGAATTCTAAAAGCAATTAAGTTAAATCCAAATATATCATTAAAGTCAATATTTCAAATTGGAAGAAAACAGCATCCAACATATCTAAGTGCTATTAAAGAACTAAAAGAAAAAAATTATAAAAATGCTGAACATTGGTGTAAATTATTTCTTAAAACTTTTCCAAAAAGTTATTCCATAAGATGTATTTTAGCTTATACCTATAGGTGTCTCAATAATTATGAACAAGCACATTTTTATTTAAATGAAGCTATTGAACTAAAAGGAAAAAAGCCCAATGCCTGGTATATTCGTGGAGAAATTCATTTAAGACAGGGCAATTATAATGATGCTGTAAGAGATTTAATAGCTTCAATAAAGTATAATGCTAAAATAGCTAATTTATATATGATGATTGGAATTAGTTATTATAAAAATAACAATAATAAAGATGCCCTAAAATATTTTGATATTGTATTACAAAATGATCCAAATAATCATTTATGTCTTAAGTACTGTGCTTATATTTATGAAAAGAAAAAAATATTCTCAAATACTTTAAAGATGTTGGGTAAATTGCTCAGTATTAATGAGGAGGATTCATTAATTTTATGTTATTATGGCGAAACTTTAAGTAAAATAGGAAAGTATGGTGATGCTATAACATATTTTACAAAAGCAAATAATATAGATCCAGAAAATGTTCACAATTTAACTAGGAGAGCTATTATATATTACATTCTTCAAGAATATGATAAAGCTTTATTGGATTTTAATAATATCATACAATTGGATACTTCAAATAGTTTAGCATATAATTATAAAGGATTAATAGAAGATAATATAAGTTCTATATTAACATTTAAAAAATGCATTGAATTAGATCCTAATAATGATTTAGAAAAAATGTATTTGAAAGATTCAAGCAATTATCTTCCTCAAATTTCTAATATTGATTATAATCTAAAGTGTTTGCCAAATTATCATAATCTTACTGCTAAGATTAATGATAATGAATCATTACTTTTGACAAGATGCGAAATATATATTGAATTAAAAAAATATGAAGATGCAGCATTAGATTTAAATAGATTGTTTGGGTTAAATGATGATGTTTCATTTGTTTATTTATTACAAAAATATTCAGATTTTTGGTTATACTTGTGTAGACAATATATTATTAAGAAGTATACTCAACCTGGAATTACTAATGATTTTGACCTTTATATGTATAATGGTAAGTACAATTAAATTAATATTCTGCAAATTAATTATTACATTCTGATATAGTGTACTATTGCAGCAAAAGGAGTTTATTTTATGTCCAACCTTATGAATCTTAATTATAATTGTCAATTTCAAGGAAGTACTAATTTAAATAGGTAAATATATTTATAACAGTATTCGTAATAATTTAAAAAATCATATATAAAACTAATGATTTTTAAAAATCTGTTTTATAAGGCATACATTATCTCTTAAAGACAATTATTACTTTATCTTGCCCAGCTTTTTCATATATTACGGGAAAACTAACTATTATATAATTTGGAAAATAAATATAAAAAAAATAATTTCATCGAACAGTTATATTATATTTAAAGCTGGTGATAATGCAGTAAGTGTAATTAACAACAAATGTTGTTTTATTTAATTTTAATAACCACAACTAATATGTGAATAATTCTATAATTTCATACAAAGATTTTCACGAATAGAAGACATAAATTAAAACATAAGGATATATTAAAACTTGAGGGATTAGGATGGATTTTATATGTGTCATTTCATTCTGTATATATAGACTATCGTATACAACTTTCAATTGAAACAAGTAATTCTATTGACATGGTATGCAATTTTATTCTCATATTTCAATATGTACAGTATTTATAATTATAACATTATCATTCCTTTATTTACTATAGCAAATAGAGTATGTTCAAATTACTAAGGATTATCATAAAGAACTTCCTAAAATGGATCATTCATTACCACTTTACACAAATAATATTCCAGAAACTTTTAAAAAAAAATATTTTTTAAGAAAAGAAACAGAAAATTTGCTCGAATTAAAAGATATTATTGATTATTAAGGTAAAGGGTTAAACATTTGAAATATTCTATGTAATATTAAGATATTCCTATATGTATAATCTTCAAATTATATTTATTGATGCTTGAATACTTTTTATAAATATTCATGATCATTTTAAATCTATATAAATATATTATTTCTCCATTTAAAGTGATGTTTGGATAAAAATATATAAATTTTTTAAGTTTAGAAATGTTGGTGTTAATCATGATCGATCATTTGAAAACACAAAAAACTGTGTAACTATAAATATTTATTCGGAACTTTTCGGATGTACTGCAACAATTGTAACATCAATTTTGATCACATTGCAACACATGATCTAAACTTATACTGATCATCAAAAATTTTGTTACGCAATAATGAATCAATTAATACAGTGAACTCCGGAGTCCGGATGTTTAAAATATAAATTATTTTATTAATCACACGCTGCAGTAAAGTTCATAATATTTTTTTCTTAATACAATAAAATGGCATGTCAACTTCCAGCTGATTGTTTAAATGAAATTTTTGAATATTTAGAAATAGATAAATTCACTTTACACTCATGTTTGTTAGTTAATCGTCTTTGGTGTGAAACTTCTGTTAGAATTTTGTGGAGGAATTTTTTTGATTTTAAATTTGATCATAAGAGACCATTATTCAAAATATATTCGTCAATTCTTAGTACATTAATTGCTTGTCTTCCAGATGAGTCAAAAAATCTCTTGTATAATAATGGAATTTTCATTTTAACACCTACTTCAAAACCATTGTTATTTAATTATGCATCATTTTTCAAAGCTCTTTCAATTTATCGGATTAATATGATGATTGTTAATGTCCTCGAAAATGGACTATCTTTAATTTCAAAAGATAAAAATAGTTTAGTTGCAAATGAAATTATCAAAATGCTTGCAAACCAAATTACTTCTTTGAAAAAATTGTCTTGTTACCATAGTCATTATTATAAGCATAACTTTAATATTTCATTCCCTTATTTTCCTGGAGCGAGAGATCTTTCAGAATTATGTTGTAGTTCAGATCTTCCTTCGGATTTTTTTAATCAATTGTCTCAAATATGCCATAATTTACAATCTATTTCTATAGATTTTCGTAGTATTGTTAACTCATCTGTAAAAGATTTAATATCTTCTCAGAATAATTTAAAAGATTTAAATTTATCAGCTTTTGATGATGGAAGTTGGACAGATATTATACCTGCTATAACAAAACATTCTCATACAATTACAAAATTAAAATTTCGTAGTGATAATGATTTTTCATCATTCTCATTTATCAGTTCATTCACAAATTTACAAAAATTATTATTTTTATTCCTTGGTGAAGTAATTGTAGATTTTACAAAATTACAATATGTTAATTTTTCAAAATTACAAATTTTAAAAATTCCTTATGAATGTCCAAAACCTGAGTATGTAATGAAATTTTTAGAAAATAATGGAAAGAACCTTAAAGAGTTTTATACAGGTGAAAATAGCAAAGATTTAAGTTTATCTATTGCTAGATTTTGTCCAAATCTTAAAAATCTTTTCGTATTATTTAATAATGGTGAGCTAGATGTACTAAAAACTATACTTATCAGTTGTCAATACTTAGAAAGTATTAAAATTTGGTGTGGTATAAATTATTTATCAGAAAAAGAAGTATTAGAAACTGTTGCAAAATATTCAACAAATAATTTTTGTGAATTAAAAATACACCACATTACAACTTCAGATGCATCTCCGGATGATTTAGAGTCATTTTTTATATGCTGGGAAAGGAGGACACCAAAAAAATTACTTTCATTTACAATTATTGGGAATATAGAATATCAATTACATTGTGGTTATAATAGTTTGGAAACTTTAAAAGTAATAGAAAAATATGAAAATTTAGGTATTATTAAATTTGTAACTAAAAGTAAAAATGAAGGAAGTGAAGAAGGGGAGCAATTTTAGTTAACTTTTTATTTTTAGAATAAGCTTACTTTTTTTAGGAAATATAGGATTTTAGTGTTCATTTTAAATGATCGAGATTTATTGTCAGTATTATTTTAAGATTGATTTAAATGTTTTTTAGATTTCTTATTTTTTTTTTTTTTTTTTTTTTTTTTTTAGAAATATC